TTTTTTTGTTTTCAAAACAAATAGAAATTGCGGCCTGTTTCAACCGTTAATAATCAGTCTACGAGCAATGTGGCTATCAAAGTAGCACGGCGCTGTCCATTGACCCAGTGGCCAGCAATTGTCTCAGTTTTTGAGACATGAATACCTTCTTGGTGTGGCGGTTTGAAAGTCTTCTTCGCTTATTTCGGCCAACACCAGGAAAGGATTAGAATTAGAGGAGGGCTGTTTCATTGATGGGTATGACCCCAAAGAACCCTTCTGATCAGTCAGGATTAATCCCGGTGTTGTCGCCATGGTGACGCTCCGTTCAGGTCTTTTCCGAGAATTTCTGCGTTTCCTGCCTTGAACTTTCCAACCATCATCAGAAATATTAGATACCAAAATATCAGACATTTCAACGGTAGTTCCGACATGTTTGGAGCCCATATCCTCTCTCGCGTCTTGGGAAGATTTTTGAGGGAAATTCTGAGTGTATTCTTGGCTGAGTCCCAGATCTTTCTCATCAATAGATTCGAAAGCCATGTCCATGCTATTCGTCACTACATTCAGGTTCAGCACCTCGTAGTTTCCCATAGTCAAGTCCATAGTCAAGTCCATAGCCAGAGAGCTGCCAGGAATCACGTTTTCAAAAGAAGAGGGCTCGAGCTTTCCAGGAACTTCCTTATATGATCTGCTTGGGCGTGGTTCTTGGTAGTCGTTCTCATCGATGTCGGCCAAAACCAAAAAAGGATTATTAGAAAAAGGAGATTTGGAGACAGGAGATTCTGGCTCACTGGTGAGTTTCTTTTCAGAAGTCCCAGAAACTGTCTCCACTTTTGTGCCAGTTCTTTTGCGAGAATTTCTGCGCTTTCTCCCCTGAACTTGCCACTCAGACTCCATGTCAATATCTGGGTTAGCGTCAGGCAGAAGAGCAATGGCTTCCATTTTGGGGATCTCAAGTTCCCCATTGAAAATAGAATTGTTGTCCAGGAACAAGTCTCCTTGCGTTCTTTTGATCTCATCAGTCTCAGTGCAGTCTACAACTACGGCTGGCTTCATAGAAGAACCAGCCGAGGAGCCAAGCTTTGAGTCTGAAATGAAAGAAAGAACGGAAGAAGCACCAGTGTCCCCGTCGGACAATTCCAAAAAGCTACCGTCGCTTGATGGAGAGAAGGCAGTAGAGCAGTCTGTTTCTGTGGCCTTTGAATATCTGGGATAAAAGGGAGAAAAGGCAGCAGCAATTTTAATTGAAATGAAATCAGCATTAGTGTTACCAAGAGTCTGAATCTCAGGTTCAGCCCTAGAGGTGCCAGAGTAGTATTCTTCGATTTGAACAGCGTTCAAGTCTGTGGTGGCAGATTCTGCCTGGACCGAGAGTTCAATAAGGAGCACGACAAGAAAATAGCCTGTGAGGCAAAGCGCAGCGATTTCCGAAACGCAATTGATGAGTCTGAAGCAAAAAATCATTTGTGCAATCATGATGGAGCGTATGTTCGTGAAGAAGGGAGTGATGGAAGAGAGTTTGCAGAAGGTGGAGCGAACACCTGTTTATATAGGAAAAGTGACTTTTTGCAGTCGGCGGCCTAACAAAGTATGGCTGCGAAATCAGGCTGTCGATTCGCGGATCGACATCTATGTCGAGTTGCATAATAACTGTGAGGGACCCCGGGAGAACATACGTGTTCATGCCCTATATTATCACAAGTTTGAAATAATATGGGAGACGATTCTGGTCTTAAGATTAGGTGAATCAAATGGGGAAAAGTTCTGGATGTTGGACGACATTTCATTAGGGTTTTGACATGATATCTGACGGCACCCACGACAGACGTGCATAGAGGGAGGAGGTGCTTTCGAGGATCGTCGGCAAAAACTGATACTAGGGTCCGAACGCTAAGATGTATACTTTTACGATCACCGCTAGCTTATGTTTCATGTAATGACCTGTATTGAGAAAAATACCAGCTTGCTGTTTTAACTGTGTTCTGTAATAGTACCAAAAATACCAGCACTCTGTGTCTATTACGTTCTTGGTTGATACGGGCAACACCCGCTATACTGTTTTAATAGTAGTGACTTGACAAGAATCTCCCGTCTCGCTTTTGATTTCTCGGATTTCTGTTCGCAGGCATTCTAGTTACACGGGGGGTCAATGCCAGTTGCAGCAGAGATGAATCTGCCGCCCTCTAACTGAACTTTCATGGAGCAAATTCCCCACATCCACCAAGAAGGATATGACAAGAAGAGCGCAGAAATATCTAGTTGCTGGTGGCTTGCAAGATTAGTATTAACGTGCGCGAAAGAGGAAACACCTATTCTAGGTCAAACTATACCCTGGTGTCTGATATCACATCTTCGTATTGCAAGCGTCCATGTCTTTTATTGTCGCTGATCTTATCTGAAGAGTTGAGTGATGGAAGGAGGGAAATGATCCTGTGAATTGTGGAAATAGGGATGGCCCGGAGGCTTCCAGAGCTGGCGGGTCTATAGGGCCACCAATCTGCGCAGATGTACACCCCGCTGCAAAAGTGCTAGTTCATACCGATGTCTTTATTTGCCCTTCGATGCCACTAGATCCTGATGCTACTTTCGATGCTACTATAATTTTCTGATGCAACTACAAACTATTGATGCTACTACAACCTTCCGATGCAACTGCCAACCTTTTGGTGCTACTGTAATCTTTCGATGCTACTAAAATCTTTCAATGCTACTACAAACTTCCGATGCTACTACAAACTTCCGATGCTACTACACACCCCAATGCGATTGCAATATTTCGATGCTATTAAAATCTTTCAATGCTACTACAAAATTCCGATGCTACTTCCATCTATTGATGCTACTACAATCTTTCAATGCTACTACAACCTCCCGATGCTATTAAAATCTTTCAATGCTACTTCCAACTTTCGGTGTTACTACAATATTTTGACGCTACTGCCAACTTGCCGTGCTACTACAACCTTCCGATGCTACTACAACCTACAATATCCCGTTTATCTGGTCGTTCTACCTCCCAGTTTATTTACGGCAATGGCCCTCGCTGGGCCCGGGTCCTGCACAGCGCCGCACGACCCAGGCCGCATCCGATGCCGCGCGCCACGTGACCCGGGCATTGGTGGCCATATCTGTTCCTCCCATACTACTTCGTCTCGCAGGATATCGCCCACAACACTCACTGCAATGGACGAGCGTCGCAGCGAACGAAGAGGCCTTTTACCGCAGAGCCTGGGCGCGTCTACCCGGCAGCAGCTTCTCCGCCGGAGACCAGGCAGCCAGCGGGCGCCCCCTCCGGTGGAGGCGCCGGAGGAAACCGTCGTGACCCAGTGCAACCGGTGTGGCAAGGACTTTGTGCAGAAAAAGGCGCGTGACCAGAAGTCCGCCCGCGGGAAAGTGGGCCGGGTGCCCCGGCTCTACAAGTTGTGCGAGCACTGCCGCGAAATGGGCAAGGGCCGGTCTCGGCGATGGCAGATGCGGACCAAGGAGCACGGGGGCTTGTGCCGGCGGTGTGGCGCCATGCTTGCGGGCAGTGACGAGCCGTATGTGTTGTGCACGAAGTGCCGCCAGGCGTTTCGCGACCGCAAGGTGCGGCGGGCCACGGAGGGCAAGTGTGTACAATGCTGTGAGCCGATGGGCTACGCGGGGGCCGCGCTGGAGGAAGAGGGGGAGCGGTATTGGGAGGGGGAGGGAGAGGAGGGTGAGGGAGAGGAGGGAGAGAGAGAGGAGGGAGAGAGAGAGGAGGGAGAGAGAGAGGAGGGAGAGAGAGAAAAAGGAGGGAAAGCGGGGGCGACGGACGGCGTGGGGGCGACACAAGCAGGCGCCCCAGCCAGGGTCGTCAAGGCCCGGTGCCGCAAGTGCCGCGAGTCGCGGCAGCAGCAGCGGCCCACGCGGCCGTTCACCTCGGACTTCATCCAGGGCTTGTACAAGTAGGGCGCGTGCATTGGCGGCGGCCGCGGCGCCACGGCCGCCCGTGCTATGGACAGGAAACGCTAGGGCCCGAACGCAAAGCTGAGCGTCTCGCCGGCACTGGTGTGGCTGAGGCCGTCGGCCACAAAGCCCGCCTCGCTGCTGGCGCCGAAGAGATGCTCCACCGTGCGGCTGGCGCCCGCCAGGTCCGCGTACTGCGTGGCCTCGGGGGCACACTCGAACAAGAACTGGCGCGGCGCCACGGCCGCCGCCAGCCGCCGGAACCGGTCTGCCGGCGTGACCATGAAGAACTCCACGCGGTCGCCGGTACGCACGTGCGCCCCGGGCGAGAGCGCGAGCAAGCCGGCCTTGGCGCCCCAGCCGCCGCCGCCCGCAATGACCTCGTGCCTAGCGGGCGGGGCCGCCGCGCCTGCGCCCGCGCCGTACACCTTGACGTACACCTTGGTGTCCTTGCTGGCCTCGCGCATGAGCCGCGCGTTCTGCTCGAGAAACCGCGCGGCGGGCTGCCCGTTGATGGCCTTGACCAAATTGCCCGTGCAGCCCGAGACCACGAGGTGCTCGCTGTCCGTCAACGGCGTCCAGCGGTCGTGCGCCACGGGCGCCCGGAGCGCCGGCGCCAAGCGGGGAAGCGTCACGTGCAACGCCGAGAGCGTCTGGCCCATGTGGTCGCCGGCGCTTGTGGCCGCCGCGTCCCTCTTCTGGAAGTAGAAGAGCGTGGTGAGCGTGCTGGTGGCGAACGCGGTGTTGGCCAACTCGAGGTCGATGCGGTGGCCGGCCACGTCCAAGCAGAGGCTGCCGGCGGCGCTCCTCCAGGGCACCTTGGCGCCCACGGGATGGATGCCGTCGCTCTCGCGCACGGCCGGCGGCGGGTCGGAGTCCGCGAGAAGCGTGGACCGGCCGATCTTCATGGGCGCGTCCATCCAGAGCTGCGACACGCCGCTGGCGGCCGCGTGCGGCACGGTTCTGTCCACGCCGGCCACGACCACCTGGAGCCCCATGTGCTGGTGGAGCAAGATGGCGTTTTCGATGGTGGCCGCGAGGTTCTGCGGCGTGGCGAGGAACAACGCGGACCGCGCGGCGAGCCCGGCGGGCACGGGGAGCAAGGCGTCGCCAGGGGGGGCCACCACGGTCCTTGCCACAAACGCGGCTCCGTCGGAGGCGGCGGTGGCGATACGGCGAAGTCCGCTCATGCTGGGTGGATTTTGGGCGGGTTTATGGGGTGTTTCGTTTTTGGCTGGCCGGGCTTTGGGCTGGCGTTTTGGCTGGCTGGCTTTTTGGCTGGCTGGGCTTCTGGTGGCAATCCCAAGGATCCGGGCACTAGATAGATTGTGGTGGCAGGGTTTGCTGGCTCACGGACTTGTGGGGCCGGACGTCGGTGCTAAGAAGCGGGGGGTTGGAGGCTCTGGCCCTGCGCTGGTCGCCTTCGCTTCGCGGCGGTCTGCAGGTGCCGGGGCCGCGCGAGTCTGCATTGGGCCGGTGAGAGTTTGCCTGGGGCCCTGGCGAGCTTCCAACGGGCCGGGGTGAGAATTACTCCAATAACGCAGTCTGGGTTTGTCTAAGCATTTGACTTGGTCTTCCGGTGATGCAGGTTGGTCATATCCACCATTAAATATAACACGGAATAAACTGCGTTATTGAAAAATTTGCATGGGGCCGGGTGAGTGTTTGCCTGGGGCCGGGTGAGAATTATTCCAGTGACACGATTTGGTTTCATGAGCACTTGACTTGATCTTTTTATAACGCAGTTCACTTTATATACCACGGCGTTATTGCAAATTTTACCGTGCGGCCGTGGTGAGAAGTTTTGCAATAGCACAGTCTGGTTTCTTCATGAACTCTTGAGTCTTGATTTTTCAGTGACGCAGTGTGGTCTTGTGTACCATAAAAATATACCATGAAATATACCATGAAATAATGTAACACGTACGTCGCCCGGGTGCGAATTTACATCGGGCCGGGAAATAGTCATTTCAAGAACACAGTCTGGTTTTATGAACATTTGGCTTATTCTTTCAGTAACACAATTCAGTCTTGTATACTGTAAGATACACTAAAAGGCAACTTTCGTTACTAAAGAATTGCATGGGGCCAGGTGAGAGCTTACCTTGGGGCCGGGTGAGCACTTGATCTTTCAATAGCGCAGTCTAGTCTCATATACTATAAAGTATGTCATAACATAAATTGCGTCGTTTGATGACTCACATTAGGGCCGTCGTGGGAATATACCTGGGACCGTCGTGAGACATTTTGAATAGCATAGTTCAGTTGTATATGGGCATTTTATTTTTGTATGAACATTTCGCTTAATCTTTCTATAACGCAATTTGGTTTTCTATGAACATTTGGTTCTTGATCTTTTAGTCAAGCACTTCAGTTTTATACCATGGCCATTTTCAATCCCATCTACGGCAACGGCTAGACACCATGGTCCTCTTGAATGTAAGAATAGACCAGGCCTTGCCAGGTATATCTCACTCTTCGCACCTAATAGTGATATTAATATGAGCCTTGCTTGGATCCCACAATGAGTAAACATCTCGCAATATACGAGAAAAAAGCGGGAAGCCACACGCACGCAGTGGTTCTCCTTCTCCAAATATGGATAGTACTAGGTGATGTATGGTGTTATACCAGACCCGGGTACTACTCTTAGGTGCCGTTTATTGAGTATGTATACAGTCCACAAGATCTGTGCAACTATTACACGGCAATATAACATTCTTGTTTGGACACATTTCAGATCATCTGCCATGGGCGTGGCACCCACACAAGGATCACTGCTTGGGATGCAATTCTTCCATTGCTTGTTCGCCGTAGTAATGTTTCGCCACCTCATCGACCCATTTCTCCTCCACGCGCATACAGTTCCGCATGTACTCTTTGCTGGTCAATACCAACTCATGATAAATGTCCAATTTTGAAGGCGGCTTGACTCGCCCCAATCCAGAGGATGGATGGATGTAAACGGGCTGCTTTCTTTTGAGCAGCATGTAGTTGTTTCCTAATTCGGAGAGTCGGGCAATGTTTGGGAAAAACCCACTGAAGAGGGCCTTCTGAATCTTCTCTTCATCTATATGTATCTGATCAGGGGCGTCTAGCTCAATCCCAACTTTTCCGCATGTACCTTCTAATTGCTGTCGAATCTCCCGCGTTCTCTTTAGCGTTTTGTATCTTCAAACCGACATTCCAGCAACATACGCCTGGATCCTTCTTTCATGCACGCGCAACCCTGTTTTTCCAACCTCTAGTTTTATTTGATAAAGTAGAGTTGTCTAGAATATGAAATAAAGTGGTGAAATTAAGTATAATTATTACTTTCACGGTGCTACTGCAAAATTTACGTGGGGCCCGTGGTGCGAATTAGGTGAGATAATTTCAGACTTGGTTTTATGAGCATTTGAGTCTTGATCCTCCAGTAACGCAGTGTAGCATTGTGTGCCATGAAATACACCTTAGAGTAACCTTCGTTATTGTATATTCTAGATCGGGTCGTGGTGAGAAGTTATTCAATGCATTTCAGCCTTATATACCACGGCGTTATTGCAAAATTTACTTGGGGTCGTGGTAAGATTCTTTGCAATAGCAGTTTAGATTTATAAGTGCATATGAGTCTTATCTTTCAGTAACGCAGTCAGGTTTTCATGAGCATCTGCCTGTTCTTTTAGTAATGCAGTCGAGTTTTGTAAACCATAAAATACACCATGAGACAAACTGCGTTATTGATCAATTTCGGTCGGGGCCGGTGAGAGTTTATATCGGGCCGCGGTGAGAATTATTCCAACAACACAGTCTGGGTTTATATTAGCATTAGACTCAATATTGCAGTAACGCAATTTATTCTTATATACTAAAAACACCATAGAAGAAGCTGCGTCATTGAAAATTGGTGGAGGCGTCGAGCAGGGCTGGCGCATGTACTTGGGCTCGTCCCGTGGTCCTGAAAACGGCCTTTGTTCATCCTCCGCCATGGGTGTGTGTTTGACGTATCCTAGTTGTAAGATGGATCAAATGCAAATCTCCTCGTTGTTGGATGGATGCTGGACAGGGACCCGGGCCGGGAATGGGCCGTCTCCTTCCGTTTTCGGACGCTCGCCAAATCACGTCTGGAGTTGTGCCTTTGTGTTGATTTTACGGCGTTTCCAGCTGTATTCTATTTCTAATATATCTGGCTGGTGGGATACAGTATTTTCTTCTTGTTTATGCGCAATCACTCTACCAAGTTCTCTTGTTAGCCATTCCACAAATGTGTCTGTGCTCTCAACCCCTTCGCCTATGCACCTTCTACTCTCAGCTATTGATGTATCTTGATTTCTCATGGATTATCTTGAACCTTCACCAACTTCACCAATGTCTCCGAAACTCTCAATAAAAAATTCAATTCTGTATTTTTTTTTGAGATCAATTCTGTATCGTGTAATCTTATTCATCGACATATCTTGTACTCTCCTATTTTTATCTTGAACTTCGTCATTGTTTCCTGTACTCTCGCTCATGGATTTTAAACTCTCATTAATGTATCTTGTACTCCCAATCATCCCACTAACGTATCTGTGCTTCCAACCAACTCAAAAGCTGTAGCATGTTTTTTGGTTTGGACACCAAAAAAAAAACGGCAACCATTTTAGTTTGAGTATTTTCAAAATCAGCGGGCAAAGGAATACGCTCAGACAATTCCAAGATCGATCTCTTAACAGGCCGATGTAGTTAAAGGACGCTTATAACCCCAGGATGTTCGTCATTATCCTTGAAAGATTCATTGTAGAAATCATAGATACTATTTATTGAAAATGTAAACTATGAGGTTAATATATCCCACTTTTAAACGAAAATTGGTTTTCATGATTTCAAAACACCAATAAAGCAGCCCCATAGGTATCATTGGGTACATCCATTATTGCTAGTACAAATACTTTCGCGTGACAAATAGTCAAACTTCTTGGTTCACATATAGGGAAGCTATTTCAGGACACACTTAGGGAAGAAATGTTTCAAAATTTACATGAATCTTTGAAAATAGGGGAGGGGGTGACGTTTCTAGCTATTGATGGACTACTAAAACAATGATTAATTTCAAACTACCATGGTTCTTCCAGTTGAATTTGAGGTGTTGATTGGTTGACAAGTGAGGCAGAAAACCAAATTCCAAGTTCGATTGTGCCTACCATCTTTTTCTTTTCGTGATCAAATAGAGGATTGGCAAGATAATTTCACTCATACTTCGGGTCAACAAGACCCGACCAGAATTTAAGATTCCAGCTTATTGGCCAGGAATGCCCGGTACTCCTAAACTTTGGTCTCATTTCGTCTGGGCAGAGTTTGCATTTCTCACCTGCTCAAGACCAGGCAAGAGTGACAACAGCTAAATTCCATGAATAAACTCAGTATTTTTGCAGACCAGGGCTTTTGTTCCAATGAGTATATCAGATACTAACAATATGGGAGCCATAACCGTGTGGCCGTCCTGATACTGAAAGTAAAGATTGAAGGATCTTGCCAGGATACTGAACATTAGAGTTTCTCTTGTCTCCAGGGCCTCGTCTCCAATAGCCTGGCCCCAAATGTTTTGTCGCATGAAAAGAATTAACGTCCTCGGAAGTTGACTCGAGATCCTTTCCGTTTGTCACAGGAGTGATGTCATGATTCCACAAATGAACTTAGGAAATGTCGAACAGTCTGAACACAGGAATAAACAAATCTTCTTCGTTGCCTGCAACCTACCTTCCCCCGAATTTCTTGTTTTCCCATTAGCTGCTGCTGAAAAATGTAGTAGAAGTAATGGAAATTATGGTGTTTGTGAAACACACGTCCAAAATCTATGTTGATGCTCTGAGGGTCAATTTTCTTATAACGTTTCTAAAAGCACTATTTGACGTGAAGCCTCCGAATTTTTATTGTAATAAAGGCCTGTATTACCTTTCCTTTCTTTGAATGTTTTACAAAATTGCTTGAACGATTTCAAGGCAGTCCTGGTCAAAACTTCGTCCTTGAGGAGTTCATCAACCACATACAAAAGGAATTCAAAGCTGTCAATACTTCAAACTATCTGTTTGTTATCCACTCCTTCAAGCTCTTTTCAGCACTTTCACAAATCAGTTCAACTTGTTTTTTCGTGTACTCGAGATTTTCATTTTTCTCTTCAAGTGAGGCAACCACTGAACCTTTTGGCAACTTCATGACCTATGCACCTTCTACTCGCGGCCATTGATGTATTTTGAACTCTCATTTATGTCTTGAGCTCTCAACCGTTTATATATTTTGTACTCCCATCTACTTATGTATTTGTACTCTCAACCTTCTATACATCTTGTACTTTCTTTCTGTATCTTGTACTCTCAACCATTCCACCCTGTATCTGGCAAGCTCCAAACAATGTGTCTGCCATGCTATCAATCTTGATTCTACCGCCTTCGTGGCCTCTCAATCTTGCTATGCAAACATCTCTAGCTGTGTTTTGAATTCTGATTGAAATTCAGCCAAGCAAGAATGCGGATCTCGTGTCCAATTTTTCCTAGTATAAAATGACTCTGTCAAGACATTGCCTGGCATGGAGCTCTCCGAAAATACCCATGACCCTCCATGCCGAACGCCTCTGATGGCCACATGTGAACTGGAGTGGTCTACTAGATTCTTGTTTTTAGTTTATTTCAGAACCAGGGCTTTCTGGTTTTTATTTGGAAACTTCTGTATTTCTGCACTGTGCTGCAATGTCTTGTGTTATTTGCACGTTCTCTGCCAAGGGCTTTTATCGCTTGCATCAATTAGTAGCACTGAAGCCGTAGGCGATTATTCGTGTATGGGCGAATTTCCCATTTGGATTCCTAGTGTCATGTTCTGCCCTTAATTTGACTGATCTGTATCCCATATTCAGCCGTAGCTATGTCGACGATCTCTACATCCACATCCACTGTACTCCAATCAGGCCGTATCAATCAAAAGCATGGCAGCAGATGGCTAACAAATGACACATATTAATATAAACAATGAATACCCAATGTGGATCATCGGCTGCCAATACGCAGATGATTTCGGAAGTAAACAACAACCATCAACAAATGTCTGTATCAAACAACTATAGCATTGAACCATTCAATACACGATATTATGCGATAGCTGTCAATTAATGTATGAGCACCAACATCTATACATCGGCTGGATCCACCAATGTTTCGCCAATGAGTATGTGTCAAAGCCCGATCGATGGGTATATCAACGCCAGCTGAACCTACCATTGTATCTGTACCAACATCTATGCCAACATCTATACCAACATCTATACATCGGCTGGATCCACCCATGTCCACCTGCCTTAACTCTCCATTCAGACCAAGCCGCGCCCGGCTCGCTAGTAGCCCCACGCTTAGACCACGACCTCCATGCATTACACAGACCCTTTCACTTTTCTGCGCTTCACATCCTCCAGTCTCTCGGTGTCTTCTGCAACCACACAGTCCTCCGCGGCCTGTCCGACCTGGGATTCGTGGTCTGCGTCCGGCTGCTCGGCCATGGCTTTCTTCTCCTTCTCTAGAAGAGGCAACACGGCCGCCTCCACGGCCGCAAACTCGTCCGCCAAGACGACGCTGTCGCCCTTGTCGAGAACACGCTTCAACACAGGACCCCACACTCTCTGGTCACGCTCGGTGAAGTCGCTGAGCTGGAACACGTTCTTGCCCAACTCCCAGTTCGCCTGCTTGCAGCGCACCAACTCGGCCATGAACGCCAGCAGGCCCACGGCCCGGCCCAAGTCGCTGACCAAGCTCCGTATGTAGGTGCCGGACCCAACAGACGCCGTGGCGTGGAAAACAGGCGGTCTGCCCGAGGGCTCGTGCGACGGGTCCACCAACTGGGGGCGGATGTTGGTGGCTTTGTCTGCGTCGTCCACGTCCGCGCGGGCCATGAACTCCGCGGAGTAGCAGAGCTCGTGGTCGTCGAGCGTGGGGTTGTTGAACACGGCCTTCCCCATCAGGTCAGCCGTGGCGGGGCACGCAAGATACCCGTACTTGTCGTGGGGCCCGAAGTCGTCGTGCACCACAAACAGGTGCACCTTGACGGCACGCGGCTCGATGGCCTTGGGCACGGGGATGCCCTCGCGCGCGTATTCGTACAACGGCTTGCCGTTCACCTTGAGCGCCGAGTACACTGGCGGCGTCTGCCTGATGGTGCCCACGAATTTGGCCGCGGCTTGCTGCAAGCGCCCCAAGGTCACGCCGGCCACGTCCGTCTGCGTGACCACCTCACCCTCCAGGTCGCCCGTGGTCGTGGACTGGCCCAACACGGCCCTGGTTTCGTAGGTCTTGGTGCACTCGCCCAAGTAGTAGCTGAGCTGCTTTGTGCCGGAGCCCACGCCGATGATGAGCACGCCGGACGCGAGCGGGTCCAACGTGCCGCCGTGCCCCATCTTGATTTTGGTCCTGCGCACGCGGTTGGCGATTTTGGCCTCCAGCCATCTGGTGCCCAGGGTCAACTGGTCGTGGACTTTCTGCTTCATCTCGGCCAAGTCGCTGGCAAACACGTCCGAGCCGTCGAAGATCGACTGGATCTGGAGCACCACTTTGGACGACGACACGCCGCTGGGTTTTTCTACTGCCAAAATTCCGTTCATGTTGCGAGGAAGGTATCGGAACATTCGATGGGCACGCGATGCTCACTTTGGTGAGATGCGAAGAGCATCGCCTGGCGGGCCGTGGCGCGGGCCCAGGGCCCTAGGGCCGGGCGGTAGGACATGCGGCCGCGCGGGCCCGAAAAAACAGGCCACGGGTCTGTCTCTGGGTTTTTGTTTCGGTCACAATTTTTTCGAACGGGGCGTTCGTTTGTGTGCGTGTGTGTTTTTTTTTTTCCTTTTTTGCTCTTTGATCTTTTTGAGGCTTTTTTTTTGTTGGTCTCTGCGCTGGCTTGTGCTCTGCTCTTGGATCCTATTTTGTTTTGTCTGGTGAATGGGTTGTCTGGTGAATGGGACTGGCCCTGAGTTCGCGCCCGTATGCCTAGGGCCACCTCAGGCCAGGCCCGGAGCCGCGGGGCGGCCTTGCCGTGTTCAGCTATCGATAGCCCCAGACGGGCTGAGCTTTGGGGTTCGCTGAGTGACGGAGCTGAGCCTTGTTCCGTTTTTTTAATAACAAGTCTTTCGAGACTTTTTGCGTTGTGAAAAATTTGCCCTGTAGTTTCGGGTATCCGTTTGTTGATGTTCCTGTTTTCCTCGGACCTCTAAATTCCAGAGTCCCCGTTTTGGCTCTAATCATCGGTTGGTTTAGATCGAAGATCCTTGATTCTTCCAGACCCATTTTTAAGATTCCGATTTGTTTTAGATTTCGGCTTCTCCGCCGTTTGTTTTTTCCACATTCTCTTTCGCTCGTTTCAAGTCTTTCTTCCACTTTCTTCCAATTTCTTCCACTTTCTTCTCTTCGTCTTCGAAATCTCAAGTGGCCCCTGAATTCTATATTCAAGTCCCCAAATTCCGGAGGGGTGCAGCCTTGGGCTTGGGCTTCCCCGGCTGAGCTTGGGCCTGGTTGGGGTGTTTGATCGGATCCCCTTCAGATCTCCCATTTTGCCCCAACAATGTGCACGTCGTCTTTCAGCGGCCATTGATTCTCCACCAGCAGAGCTCATTGTTTTATTCGCCTTTGTCTTGTTCTCCCAGAGCATGGATGGATCTCGGGCTCAGGTGCCCCGCACTGGGCCCCGCTACCATGGGAATCTGGAAGTCCAAAGATAGCATGGCACTTTTTAGCAAGGACATCACCTGTAAGTCCGGATGCTTAGCTCTCAAGCTTATGTTCACTGACTCCACATATGCATCGAGTGCCTTCATCTTGAGTTCCGAGTTAGAAGCCACAAGATACTTGGAGTAGAATGTAGAGTAAAGCGCACCAGAGAAAAAGTCCACCATGTTCTCTAGCCACGTGTGTTTACCATGCGGTGTAGCCGCCTCGTGGAGAAGCTTGTTGATAGTCTGCACGATATCCCGGAACTCATTTTTCGTGAGCCACTGAGGCACCAACGGCGTGAGCGAAGTGACTCCGAACTTTTGCCCTCCGTATGCACCGCAGACTTGGAACTCCGTCACGGCTTCACTAGTTAAAGCCGCTGGCTCGTGCCCTGGAACATAGGCAGAAAACTGGGGCACCATGTACAGCTCTTCGCATAGGTCGTAGATCCGGGGGACCCGTACGATTCTTGTCCGTCCGTAAAGTTCTCCACCATATGCGGCGTATACATTGGGAAAGTGGCTGACCACTAGTGCCGGACGATGCTCTTGATGCGCTTGGTCTTCCCCTGAGTTCAGATTTTGCTGGGGGCTCCCTTCAGCAAAATTCAACGGCCGATACTCAGAGACAAGGTACTCGTGATAGTTGAAGAAAACCAAATGCTTTGCGGTGTTGGCTCCCGCGTACTTTGCGAGTGGATCATTCATGAGACACACGGAGCTACCCCGGAGCAAGTTGACAATACTGGTGCAGATGTAACAGGGAAGAATTAAAAAGATACAAAAACATATGATTTCGCCCAGGATCGAACTGGGGACGTTCTGCGTGTTAAGCAGATGCCATAACCAACTAGACCACGAAACCGTATGTAAAGAATCCGGGAGGCCAATCGAATAAGTAAAATTAAAAATGTTGGATTTACATCGACACCACCAAGGTTCTCTCTTTGTGTAATGATCTGGGAAATTAGCAGCTGCTGCGAATTCAAAAGGCCATTGTGCGCCATTGCGGATGCGCTCGTTTTCGTATCGTGAAGCCCTAAGTTAAGGCTGGGCCCGCGCACGACCACCCAGGTATAAGAATGAGAGCGCGGGCTGAAAACTTTTCGCCCGCCATCAGAAAATGTATGTTCTTTTTCGAACTCAAACTGTACTACCTGATGATACTTCGTCCGCAAGGACACGCTATAACCCAGCTCATTTGATATACTGTTCATGATAAGAATTCTTCCACTAGATAGCTGATAGTACGCCGTTGCATTTTGCCCGGACAAGCACTAACAAATTAGGACCCGTCAGCTGTCGCCCCATTTGACTTTGCCATTCCTCTACCCTGCAGCCATGGCTCTGCTTTCTCTGTAAACTTCTCTACTCATCACTGTTCGACTTCCACGTATTGCTGTCCAGTGCTTCAAATCAGTCTTGGACTGGTGGCTTTCTGTACATAAATTATTTTCGAGGCCAATCAAACCGCCGGCGGAAGGATGTCTCTTTCTATGTGTTGTTTGATTGTCAGTTATTTTCATTGCACTTGACTTCTCCAATTGCCTCTGTTTGTCTAGTAATCTAGATGACAACTTGTCTTCTACTCTACTTGTTGACCGCTGGATTCCATTACTCAAACATCTTTGCTTGCCATGGTCTTTTTCGGAAACAAGATTGATATCTTGGTTCAAAGTTTCCAGTATGCGGAAAAACGCTGAGGATGACACCCGCACAAGGCCATTATCGAACAATAAAATCCATCTTTGGAGAATAGTGACCTGCTACTACACAATTCGAAAATGACATTCGGAAAGAACCAGAATGAAAGTTCACGACGAGAGGGAAATGGAGAAAAGACGTCTGGAGGCCGAGGCGAATGAGTCGTAGTGATGACTCGCGGACGAAACACCCGTATCGCTCAGCGCTCATATTTGAGCATAATGACTGTGCCGATCAGAGAGCACGAACTGCTGAGTCAAAGCGATCAAGGGTGTTCTTCTTCAGAGATCCCAAATTTGGCGATAGCGAAGACTAGGTTATGATCAGGGACCATTTTCTCATTTTCCATTTGTCTAACCTGTTTGTCTAGTGCTTTCTTAATCCATCTGTTCATTTATTTATTCGTTCATTCGTCCATTCTTCGATTCGTCTACATCAATCTTATTTGATTATTCATAATACGATCTGGAAATTAGACTACGGGAATACGAGCCCGAAAATAAAACCGGTATGTTTAATTCAAAGCATCGAGTATTAAAGGATACTCTATGATATACTGGTAGTAATGGAAACTAATTTCTTCAATGGTTCAAGTTCAGGCTCAATCAATCAATGGTAGATTGTCTATATCATAGGGTTTACTCTATATTTCATCATTTTATGAGATTTCCGCGTTGGGAGGGATTAATAAATCAATACTTTCAATTGAAAATTAAAACTCCTGGAGATTGGTAATTATCTTCATATTTGTCCATTTACCTATATGCAAATGACCAGTTATCTATGTGCCCATTTGCCTTATTGTAGATTGTTCAACAATCGATTTGTCGAACTATCTATTTTTTATTTGTACAATTACCTATTTCTCTGCTGATCTATAGTACATTTATCTCGTCGCACAATTTTCTTGTTAACTGTTAAACAAGGCGGCGTCTCCTAATTTTGCTGCACGAGTCCGTCTTGTTTCGCAAGCAGGGAAACCAAAGATAGTCATAGAGAACGGCCAAGATTTGATAAAGAAGAGACTCCATGTGTCTGTTTTCGGTGAACAGTGCCAAATTCGAGCATTCGTTCACGGACTGGACTAGAAGGCTCACTTCGTTGAGGAGATTCTGGAGGTTGGCGAAGTCGCAGCCGATTAAAAGTTTCTCGAACTGATCTACGAATTTCTCAAAGAAGGCCGGTTTTCTATCAATGCGATAGTTTCTTTTGTCCATTTCCTATTTATCCCTTACTCATTCAACTATTCATCTGTTTATTGTGGCATTTGTGCATCTATCAATTCTTTTCACCATTCATCTCTTTGTTCACTTACCCAATTAACTACTATCTATCTATCCATTGTCCAAATAACCTTTGAGTATTTGTCCAATTATCTATTTACCTAATCATCCACGAAATATTTAAAGGCTCAGTTTTTCGTTATTAATTTGTCTCTTTGTCTGATCATCGTAATCATGTTTCTGTCTATTCCCCTATTTTCCAGTTTGTCAAATTCTCTATTTCTACATTGTTTTATTCGTCCAGCTATCAATCTCTCCATTTCTCCATTTGCCCAAGCATCCCTCAGTCCTCTGTCCAAGTATTAGTCTATCTATTTCTCCACCAATGATTTGATAATTCATTTGTCCATTATCAATACGCCCATTCGTCTTGACATATATTGGTCTATTTGCCCTCAATTCAATTCGTGCAATTTTTATTTTTTTCTTTATCCAAATGTCTATTTTACCACCCTCCAATTTGTCAAAATGTCAGTGTCTTCATTTTGTCTTAAAAATTTTTATCAACTTATCCAGTTTCCACTCATCCAAATCTGCACTACTTCTCCAATTGCCCAAACATTCCAATGTTCATTTGTCCAGCCATTATTTTGTCGATCTCTCCATTTCTTCATTTACACAGATGTCCTTTCGGCCAACTGCCAATTTGCCAATTTCCTTACTTGTCTATATACACCTGTCCATGATCTATTTTCGAATAGTATTTTTTGTCTATTTGCCTTTAATTTGTCAAAAAATGCAATTCTACAATATTCTATTCGTCGAATTACTCATCTGTCAAATTCCTCCTTTCTCCATATTTACCCATTTTTCAATACATCCCTCAGCCCTTTGCTCAATAATACATATACCTATATATCCGCCAATTATTTACTCTCTACCCATGATTCCATTTTTGCCTTTAAGTAACTTCCTTACATTTTGCATCTATTCATTTCCTCATTCGACTAGCCACCATCTTGTCAGCTCTCCAAATATGCTTTGAGAAGGCGTGGCGGGTCGCAGGAAGTGGGCTCCTTAAGTCCGCTACAACCATCCGAGTTGAAGCGACTACTACAGGAGACCTATCCTAGGAGTCGATGAGGTAATATCCAAGACGTCAACAGATACGGGCCATGAGGACCATCCAGGCCGTGACACACGGAAGGGGACGGGCCGAGCTAAGACACTTGGTACGTAGGTGGGAGCTATTTAAAGGTTTTTTATATATATTACCTATATATTTTTGCCCTTTAATCAAATGAATCTACCAAAAAGAACAAAAGGTTCACGATTTTGTCTATTTATTATCCCATTCGAGTAGCCATCATTTTTTCTTTTTTCCGAATATCCTTGGACAATTTGTCCAACTGTTTAATCATTTCTTGGTCTATTTGCCTCTGATTCAATTTGAGCATTTTATTGTTCATTTCCTCATTCGGCCAGCTATCAAATATCAGCCCATGAATTTCTTCATCTATCCATATATCCAAACATCCCTCAACTCTTGCTCAACTACCCATCTACATATCCATCCCCCAACTATTTACTAATTTATTTGTACATTATCGATCTATCCATTTGTCTGATCGTGTATTCGTCTATTTTTCCTTTTTGCCTCTATGTCAATGTCCAAATTTATAATTTCAATCTATCAACTTCTCCAGAGTCCATTTATCCAAATATTCATTTGACCAGCCCTCAATTAGACAAAATCCTCATTTCGCCATTTCTGCATCCATCCAAATATTTCCTCGACCAGCTGTCGAATTGTTAAATTCCCCAACTCTTCAACTCTCTATCTGTTCAATCATTCATCGGTCAATTTCTCCATTTTTCCATTTTCCATACATTCCTCAACTCAACCACCCATCTACCTATTTATCCACCGACCATATACTAATTCATTTCTCCAATATCTATTCGCCCATTCGTCCAATCATTTATTGGTCTATTTGCCTTTGATTCAAGTTTGCATTCTTTATTTATCCATTTCCCCATTCGACTAGCCATCATTTTGTCAAATTTCCGAGTATCCCTTGACTATTTGTCCAACTGTCTAATCATTTCTGGGTCTATTTGCCCATAATTCGATTTGTGCATCTTTATTAATCATTTCCCCATTCGACTAGCCATCATTTTGTCGAATTTACTCTTTAACTACTTGACCATTATTCTTGTCATTGATTGGTCTTTAATACTTTCCTCTAATTCAATTTGTGCATTTTATTATCCATTTTCCATCCGGCCAAATACCAAATATCAGCTTGTCAATTCCTTCATCGATCCATACCCAAACATCCCTCAACTCTTGCTCCACTACCCATCTATATATCCATCCCCCAACTAAATAATAATTCATTTCTTCCTTATCAATGAGTCCATTTGTCTTGACATATATTGGTCTATTTACCCAAAATTCAATTTGTG